AAAGCCTGGAAGCACTGGAAGGCCGTTTCGTCCTATTGTGGGACTTCTCAGAAATGCGCATCCTGGGTTCGAATCTCGCGAGGCGGGGTCGTGGATGTGGTTTGCTGAGGAGTCCCACAATAAGACGAAATGGCCGTCCAGTGCTTCCAGGTTTTCCATGGTGGTCTAGCTTTCACTGACCCATGATCTCAACTATTGAAGTAATACTATCTGTTACGTATAATAATCTCGTTCATTTTTAAAAAAAATTTAATACTGATAATCACCATTAAAAGTTCCCTTATTTATTGACTAACTTCGAAAGAAAACATTCAGTAATATCACTGTAAGTATTAAGTACTTTGTATTTGACTATCTACTTACACGTAAGAAGTATGTTTACTTCAACGATGAAATAGACTTAAAAAACAAAACGAAATACTTTCCTGAAATACAATTTTATTTTACTTTTTGATTGTCCTTAAATATAAACTGTCCTTAATAACAAGTGAATTTGCGTTTTTTAACTAAACAACAACAGTAGGAAATATCTGTCAACTAATTAATGTACTATTAATAGTACTTTAATGTAAATTTTGATTAGATTTTTGGCGTTTAAACAATGACTGATATAGTTTCTAAGAATGTGTATTATTTTTTAAATAAAATTAGTTCTTCAGCATTTTTCCGTTGTTTTGGCTTCTTTAAAGTTTGTCAAGTTGAGCGGTTAAAACATTGAATCAGAATTATAGATGATTTTAGTTAGTAATATGATTCAAAGAGCTGAAACTTCATACACATAGAGTTCCTTTTATCATTTTGAAAAGAGCTAGAACAAAGATTCTAGTAGAATAAAATGAATTCATTTTTATTTCATCTGGTTCTCGTCAGTTGCTTACAGCCTGTGATATTTAAAGGTCACAATTACATAATGGGTTTTAATTACTTACATGAAAGGATTTGGTTCGAAGTTTTATTGAAGACATATTCATTCGTATAGTATAGCAAGGGTGTAAATAAATTTAATAAACTGTGTATTGTAAATATATACCTTATATGAAAGAACATTCTACAACATTGATTGTGACAACAGTTCAAACGGCCAGAAACAAGTGATTACATAATGAATGAACAATGATGGGAATACAGTGAGTAGTGTTTGGTTTTCAACTATCTTCCAAGTTGACAATTTTATTTTATCAACACTCTACTCGTTTTATTCCTATCAATGTCTACTCATTATGTAATCACTTGTTTCTGGTTATTTGAACTGTTGTCATAGTCAATGTCATGGAATGTTCCTTCACATAAGGTATATATTTACAATACACAGTTTATTAAATTTATTTACACCCTTGCTATACTATACGAATGAATATGTCTTCAATAAAACTTCGAACCAAATCCTTTCATGTAAGTAATTAAAACCCATTATGTAATTGTGACCTTTAAATATCACAGGCTGTAAGCAACTGACGAGAACCAGATGAAATAAAAATGAATTCATTTTATTCTACTAGAATCTTTATTCTTGCTCTTCTCAAAACAGCTGAAGTTGAATTATTTATGATGTGTTACAATATAACGTAATAAGATATCAAGCAAAGCACGTCAATCGATGACTAAAAATCTACACCTACCAGTTCTTTTTATAACCGCACAGAGCTGACCTTTGAAATAGGAAACACTATGATTTCTCACGCCACAACGGAAAAGACCCAACTGAAAGCAGATGAAGATTTCCTTTGATCTCGAAAAACATGATAACGACTTGATCACCATATGAATTCATTCATGCACAAAATGAAATTCACACTAAATTAATCCAGCAAGATATCTTGTTGAATAGATATCAATAATTAACTACACTGCATGAAAACATGATCTCGCTTTGAGTCTCATTTAACAAGTTTGATTATGCAGAGACTGAAATATGGAAAACTCGACCAGTTTATCTGATTGCTGTATAACAACATACTAATGCATTCAAATCGCTATTATCACCAATAATGAACTAGGGAAAAACTGAAGCATATTCGCTTCCATTTTCAAATGTAATATTTTAATGGATTCGCCACTATAAATCTTGTTAATAGTATGAAAGACATGAACATATTTTTGTGAAGATATGGGATGCGGCTACTTGAATAAAAGACATATCGTTTGGCAACTCCTTCCAACAAATATAACTAAAAATGAAGGGTAATACAATCTCTTATAAGAAATTGAAAAACGTATTATGAAAGTGATTTATTAAATGAATATAAAGTAGTCAATAAAAACCTAAAATAGTGATAGAGACCTATTTAGTCATTGAAGAAAATGAAAACACTTCAGGAAAGAGTTCCTCTTCAAGAATGTCACTTTTTGTTGCTGCACAATCGTATTCATGCTTAATTTTACTTATGGTATTACATGATCAAATATAAAAGTGTTAAATCATCAGGTAAGATTATTAAAGACAGTCAAACGTTTTCAAGGATATTTGATCACTACTGTGTGGCTTTCTAAAGAGAAACTTAAGTCAGTTAATAGCTCGATCTTTTAGGATATTGTCAAATATGGTCACATGCCACTTAGGGAAATTATTCACAAAATCAGAAGAACTAGGTCGAATAATATATGGATTTACCAGTCGTGCCAGACTCAAACTGTAACGATCCATAAATTCAAACCTAATCTCTGTGTACAAAATAGTCACCTTTCATCCCTTATTCATCTATGGTCTTACCAATTCTTCAAACGTTTACAAATCGTAAGTGCCGATAAGCATTCTATTGTTCACCTTCTTCCTATTCTTCTTCGTAAAGCAGACAGTTTTCTTAATAATTTCTACCATAAATTATCACCTCATATTATTTCAAAGACTATTACATAACCTAATCCTTCGATAATTTTCGAGCACCTATTAAATGATGCGATATCCCTCAAATCTTTATGAACTTTCGTATTCGACAACTGAAGTGACTTTTGACTATTCTTGATCAGTTATCTTCATGATGTAACAATTCTCTATAACATAACAGACTACAACATGTAAAACTACTTACAAACATGACTTAAAAGTTTAAGAAAAACGATATCGTCAATAGGAAAATTCTTGTTCTTTTTGGAATTCACATGTCAGATATCCTATCCACTGTTTGAAGGAATATTCTTTTTATAACCACCAAATAAGACGTAGAACACATTCTAGACTCCAATGTTAGACAATAATCTTAGTATAAATTTATGACACCTAGAGACTGGGGAATTTTTTTATTGTTGCCGTTAAGTTTTATGGTTACAGATAAAAATTGTATGTTTTATGAATGTAGTACATTGAATAATAATAGTAGATCAGTTGTTGAAATCAGTTTGACAATGAGTTACATTATTAATTTGTACTATATAACAGAGGTTTGTCGATACAGTTTTTCTGAAAATTGTGCCATTGTACTGCATTCATAATTAATGAGATATCGTCAATAATTATCGCTAATAATTAAAGTCAAACTATCGTGATGTGACCAAAAATACTTTTGTCATATGTAATCCTTTTTCCACATAATTAACAAAAAATGGATTAAACTAGGAGTATAGGATGGAGAAAGTAGCATCAACCCATTTCATCCATTGACTTTCAATATAATTCACTTCAGAAATTACTTAAGACTCTTACTCCTAATGGAGCATAGGCCACCGACCAGCATTCTTCAACCCACTCTGTCTTGGGCCTTCTTTTCTAGTTCTATTCAATTCTTGTTCATTTTTCTCATATCTCCATTTCTCGGCGTAATGTGCTCTTTAGTCTTCCTCTTTTCCTTTAGCCTTGAGGATTCTATGTGAGGGCTTGTCTTGTGATGCAGTTGGGTGATTTTCTCAATGTATGTCCTATCCACTTTTAGCGCTTCTTCCTGATTTCTTCCTCCACTGGGATCTGATTTGTTCTCCTCCACAGTAGGTTGTTGCTAATAGTGTCGAAGAATATGTGGATTTACCAGTCGTGCCATGATATATATATATATATATATATATATATATATATATATATAGCTGGATTTTCAAGAAAATAATCAATCTTTCTTGACTTACTAAATACTTAAGCCTCTTATCCCTTATAAGATATAGTCTACCCCAGGTTAAAAATGATCAGGGGCGCGCTAGATACTATAGACTTGCGATATGAATTGATGGTCCTAAGCTTGACTCCTATGTTCAGTAATCGATAACCATTGCCAAGGAGTGCAAAACTAATACGGAACACTCTCCGGTAATAAATAGTTTTCAGTGTTACATAAGTCAATACTAATATGTGAAGAAACTTATCTTATAAGTATACTAATATACATTAACAGCCATTGATATTGTCTTTCCAACAATTAAAGTTTTTATTCATAAAACATTTCTTCAGGTCATGATTCTATTTTATCCACTAACAAATATCACTTATATTGTTCACATTCAGTCACTTACATTTCCTTAACTCTATAAGTACTTGTTATTCAAATTAACTGGTAAATTGAATATATTAATTCGGTGAAAGGAATGTTCTATTTCATTATCATAACAACATTAAATTATTGTTTGCAGACCCAGATGATTATATAGATACGTATTTGCGCATGTTATCACTCATGAAGCATAGGCCACTGATAAAGACTCTCCAAATAACTCTCTTCTTGACTCTCATTTCCAGCTGTTTTCACTTGCTATTCATTCCTTTAGAAGAGGTATCGGCGTTGCGACTTCTAAAGAATCTCGGCTTTCATCATCAGTGATCACAAATCTTCTACATGGATAGTGTTTAATCCCAAGAGCAAAGTTTGAATGGATTAAATAATATTTTTCTGATTAGCCTTTGATTTTGCAAGGTTACTTTTACGCGGTGAAGTAGTCAACTTCATTTTCGTCCCTTCTTTATCCAGGGTCGCGACTAGGAATTTTTTAGTTTGGAGTAAATTTAAATAGCACGATGAACCCTCACTTCTGTTTTTATGTTCCTATAGATGCATATATTTTAATTCTTCAATCTCTTTTAGTCGGCATAAATGCCCACACCAAAAACGTAAAACTCAGATAACTAAACCATGTGAAATTTCTGAATATACTACACAATATATTACTCATAAGCTTACACCAGTGGAATCATGTAAACCACCTCATAAAGGTGTACAAGCTGAAGGTCATATGGCGTCGGATACTACACACCGGTAAGTATGTTATTATTTGTATTAGTAGTAATTATCACTAACATGTAATCTAAACATTTGAATAAAATACAAAGATATAATCGGAATCTATTCAATTTTATTTTTTGAAAATGTTATGCTGAAAAGCGTAAGATATTCATTTCCATAGACTCAATTGGCTAGATTCTATTCAGGGTTTATGATCAGATGACAGTTTGCACTAGTTGAAACTCTTTTTCCAAAAATTCAATAACTAAACATTTTTATCTATTTAGTTAATTTTTCCAGAGAGTCTATTTAAAAGAAATTCCAATTTTATGATTTTACAACCTAGTTTGACTAAGTTCAATCGTTGCAAACTAGAAAGCATTAGGAATCTATTTCATCTTAGATTTACATTTCTAATATTACTTCATGAATAGCTATTCATTCCTTGTTCCCGAACCACATTCTCGTGAATAATAATAGAACTTGCCAGACATCATCAGAGATTACTGTGTTCTGAACGTGCCTTCATTATTTTATCTTTCCAGTAGAAGTAATCCATTGTGTCATTACATAAAAATAGGATGAAGAGAAGAAATGTTTTTGACGAAATTATTTACTTAAGCTATAAATCATTCCTCAGCACTAATTCCCCTTTGCAGTATGTTTTAGTCTTGTTTTTTTATTAATTTGTAAGTTTAAACTTTAACAGTCATCATTATTTACTAACAATTTTTCATGATTGTTATCTAGTTATTATCAGTATGGGAGTTTGTGGAGATTGTAGTAGTTTTAATAGTTGAATTAATGAGTCTAGACCACCAATGAAAACCTGGACAGCCGTTTCATCTTGGTATGGGACTCAGCAATGCGCATCCACGGTCCCGCACCAAATGGACTCGAACTCAGGATGTTTGGCGTCGCGTGTGAACACGAACTCGAGACCACTGAACTGGCATCCAACGGTGTTGATGTCTAACTTCAATGGATCCATAATCTTGTGTAACCATCCATCCATTGTGTGAGATAGATACCTGTCTCTACCCGACATAGATTGAACTCCACTGATCACAGCCTCCTACTAGAACTCCAGGATATCCATCTTAGTTTAGAATGATCCATTAATTCATTTTCCTTCATATCTGTCAAGTGCACAATTACGTTTTATAATGCTGATCCGTAAATTATTTTCATCTTCCTATTCTTCTCTAACCCCTTGATCATCACGCAATCACCTTTTGACATTTGGAACCTCAAATCAATCTAATGATACAATCTTTTCTATCTTTCTGTAGACTTATACATTTACTGAGCAACCATTAATACGTATGTACAGCTTAAGTAAATGATTTCGTAGAAAAGAAAAATTTCCTCTTTGAATTATTTTATTTTAGTTAAAAGTAATCCTGTAAAACACTTGAACAAATAAATGAGTCAGTTAATCAACTAGTTATTGACATTTAGTGCTTTCTTGATTAATATTAATTTGAAAATGATTTTCAATACAGTGAAACTAAAAACATGGATCACTGAACTTTTATTCAGTGCTTCAAAAATCAATGTATTCGTTGTAGAGAGTAAAAGAAGCAAAATCTCTGCAAGCTCTTTATATCTGTCTTTGAAGAGTTCCTGATATTATGGAATTACCGAATGAATGACCCAGAAGTCAGGTTAAGGGTACCAGGTGAACATGTCAAGGAGATTGTCACTCTTCATAGACTGAATCGGCTGAGAGATTTGTTAGCATCCCTAATCATATTCTACTACCATTTCCAATATAGTAAGCTTGAAGAAAGCTAAGAATGATCCGAAATACAACCTAAGACGAAATTCTTTCTATATTTTGAGTAATAATGTTAGTTGAATAACATATGGGTATTAGTCTTTGTTCAACTCATATGTAACTATAACTTCTCATTGTTAATTAGTTTTTTTCAAATAAAATCTTATTTCTTTTTAATCGAGGGGTTTTGTGGCAGTTATTTTAACTTGTACGTTGTACTCATCACGCACTGATGTCAGTATCTTCATTCAAGATGCGTTCTCGAGATTTTAGTGAAAATTCATGAATAGGAGAGTTCAAATATATCTACAATGAAATAGCTGTCACTAATGGGATTGGATGATCATATCACCATAATAGAATTCGATTATGGTTAGGAATGTATATCATTACATACTTACTATCCCTGTAGTTCAGACGATTAAGTGTTCTCCGTAAGAATTTAATTTTACCACTGGTGGGATCATGAGTGTGCAACCGTGAGGAGCCTCGTACTTGTACTAAACAGCTGTCCGACACTTTTTATTCCTCACTGGTTCCCCAACTGAGATTTAATCGTGATAACTATCAGCTATAAATGATATCCGAAAAGTAGAAGAAATGATTAGTATGAATAGTCTGTACAAAGTTTGTACTGACTAATGATTAAATTTATAATAGTCTGATTGTACGTCCTGAATTTAAGGTAAGTAGATATCAGTCGGATTAATAGTTTTCCAGACTTATCAAATTCAAGTTCACGTTTAAAAGTGTTTCTTATGACTGATTAGCTACAACTGAATCGTATGGTGGGAATGGATATAAATTTGAAAAGAAAACTTTAAATAGTCACTATTAATGATTATTATACTTTCGCTGTGGTAAACTATACAGAACTATGGATTGATGGTGTAAACTATAATCAAAGTAAAAGTAAACGACAGCCTGTTTGAATACACAAACAAATATCGACAACAAAACCTATGAATAGAACCAATCAAAAACAAATGAATCACAATGAAACCTTTTGGAAAAGCTGAAGACTACTCGTTCACATACAATATACGCTAATGGTTTTGTCATTCAGAACGACATCGAAGGCTTCTCAATGAAATCACCTAGCTCGTAAAACAAAACATCGCTAAAATGTATTTTTATGATTATTTCACAAGTGTCAAATCTACTCATTCTAATGACCCCTTGTTATTAACTGAATATCTCAAACTAACACAATAATGGATTGAAATATACATTCATAATAAGAATATAATACCACCGGAGATAACAGATAGGATTTTTCAAAAGTTATCATTTAATTAATTTACTTACTGATTGTCTTTGATGTATATTTTTCTTTTACAGTGTTGATTTTGTACCTCATCCACTGAGTATTCAAAATAGTTGCAGAAAAGAAGCACAATATCAACCACCACAGGGAACATTCGATGGTTTAACTACATATACAAAGGAATATACTGGTATGCAGTGTAAATCAGTGATATTCACATTTGTTAAGCAATGACTAGAATATTCATAATTTATCATTTTTACCCAAAAGCAAAAAGAGATGCTAAGTAGAATGAGTTAGTTTAAAGCCATGAATAAATCGAAACCAAAATCATTTTGTACAGGGATAAAGTAAACTGCTTACTAGTGAAAGGTGTTTTAAATCATTCGTATTACCCAGTACTACATTCATGACAATCAATTTTAGACTAACATCATTTTGCATGTCATTCCGACCAGTACAACAAAATGGACACTTCAGCATCACATGGTACTACTATTGGTAGTATGTAAATCAAAAACTTTTTAACCAAAGGCTTTATGGTTCCCGAATATAATCAGGGTACAAATTTAAATCCATTGGATGCTATGTGGCATTATTAGCGTCAAGTAATCGATTATACTTCCGCGGAACATGTGAAGCTGTGACAATTTCAAATTTTATCTACTTATAAAATATAAGTAGGCACAGCAGAAAACGAAATATTTTGTCCGTTCTAATAAACTTTTTTGATGAAAGATATCTTGAATTCTCTGAGTTTGCTAGCTTGACCACAACCGAATAATGATTTGAGGTTATATAAGCTTCTATCTTTGTTTTCGCGTCTTCTATGGATCATTCAAACCTGTATTGATGCGAGTGTGATCTGTCTGGTTCTTTGTAGTGTGGTTTGATGAAACCCGTGTATCTTTTTGTATGCATTTGTGGGGGAATGTAGTACCATCTCTAACCACTTTGTTGAAGGCACATAAATCTGCAAATCTTTCCCCAATCGTGTTCTGTTCTCCTAGTATATATCGTCTCATGATGTCTTCATATTCGTGTTGTGTATTCCGACTTTTTCGGTTTGGTCTCCCATTAGGATGATCGGGTCCTTACTTTCCTGAGCATTTCTCTACGGTCTACTGTAGGCTGTCATAAAATTGATCTTTGTCGTCACGTGAAATCTACACTAATTGCTTATTCAATCATATTCAGAGGTTGAATTTATTAAGCAGGATAATATAAGTGAATAAAATATGGATCGTTTGAAAAGAACATAATATGAAAATGAGTGGATGTGTGTACATGTGCAACTTATTAAAGGTTAATATTTAGTAAATAAATATTAATCATTTGTTTATTTAAAAGAAAAATTAAAAGTGCACGTAAAGTGTGATTCGTCAAGTATATAATAATGATGTTAAAACATTCAAATTAACTTGTGTGCTGGCTTCGCAGTCTAGAGGTTAGGTGTTCGAGCACGAGAACAAACATCCTGGGTCCGAGTTCCGCATGCGAGGTCGTGGATGTGCACTGCTGGGGAGTCTCATACTAGAACAAAACACCTGTTTAGGGTTTCCAGTTTTTTAGTGACGGTCTAGCTTAGGTTGACTCGTGATTTCAACTGGGAAAACACTATAGTCTTCACATATCCCCCATTCTAATTTCCGACACACTATAGTCAACATACATCCACTCATTTTCATATTATGTACTTTTCAAACGATCCATATTTCATTCACTTATATTATCCTGCTTAATAAATTCAACCTCTGAATATAATTGAATAAGTGTAGATTTGACGTGATTGTTAAACGTTATATATTCTTTGAAAATTTTGATTTTGATTGCTACCTTGTAGAAGTCGACAGCTGTATCTCTGTGCTTATGTGGTATGGCAACTCGAACTGATGTACGTACGTATAAAGTCCTACGTTGTTGCCGAGTGGCTGACTGAGAAGTCTAGGAAATTATGCTGGATGAAGCACCAGAATTGTTTGGATTTTGATTTCTGAGATTATTTCAAATATTGTTTTCACAAATGAAGACGAATTAAGTTGATTTATGTACTTGTCCATTGAATATGTTATTGATATGATGTTTATACCGTTGTTGGCATCTGTCTGAATGGTAACCGAAAATGTTAAGTTTATAGTCATAATTGCAATTTAGTATTTGTGGTAAAAACGTGGTTAGTAGAATAAAACATTGAACAGATTCGACCATATAGGAGGCAAATTAAATAATGACCAGTGTCAAACGGTTTGCCGCATTCACTAACAGCTCAGCTTCCACCTTTAAATTTAATGAAACAAATCGTTTGGCGCTTAAAACATAACAGTTAGGTGTCCTTACCAAATTCAAGCCCCCTGAATGTATTACGTTTACCTTTTGAATATAAGACAACCGTGAGTGTAGAGAATCTTCCGTTTCATAATAATGGATCGCACGAGAAAAAGATCTTAATGTTTTTTTACGTCTAGAAAGCTGGAATTGTTAGATTAGTGTTGTTATCGATTGAGTAGTTGCTAAATTAACTGATTTACTATAAAACCATTGCAATAAATGTATGTATTCCTTTTATTAACCCAAGGTAAACCAGGTCAGCTGGTTTTCCCAGTTAAACCAACTATTAGAAAAGGTTCCACAGCCAAATTTGATGGTGAAGCCACCTATACTGGTAAGCAAAACATATTTAAATATACTTTATTTATAAATAATAAAATTCAGTTTCTCTCATCGGTAGTTTACACAACTGAATTGATTGATGAATTGACCGATTAATTGATTGATTAAGTCATGTAAAAACAAGTAATTGGGACAACAGCTAAGTGGAGTCAGAACAAAAGACTAAAATGACCATCATTAAATCCTATACAGTGTAGGTCATTCATCAGAACAGAAAGTAGTCAATCATAAGACGAGAATAAGTAGAAAAGAAGAAAATAAGGGAATGGAATTATGATGGATACTCATGGAACAAGAGAGAAATATCAATTTAAGTGCGAAAGAGAGAGTGATAGTGAGATAAAACTTGGGCTTGTAATACACTACATGCATAAAATGCAAGTATAGTGATAAAGTGGTTGAACGTAACTAACATTTCCACTCTATACCTTCCTTTCCTGTTCCAAACGTTACTGAAAAATTGACAGTGATTAGGACAACGTGAGACATGAATGAGCTCTACAGGCATTGATTGGTAGTAAATTACTTTCGTGAGCTCAGATTTAGGGAGATGATGAGTGAGTTATTTCTACAAATTGATTGGTTCCTTTTCCATCAATCAGCAAACCTAAGCTCTTTCAGAAATGGTATGTTTCCCATGTAATTCTCAAATATATTTACTGCTTTTTCATCTGTGCACCTGATCACACTTTTATCTTGTCATAGATATTACGTTCATTCGTTCTGGTTCTATTTTTTATTGAGCAGTGTTATACTGTGATGGTTGAAGGATTACAAACCAGAGAAGAATGTAACAGATAAACTTCTATGTTAATCAACACTTAATAGAGAAATAGGAGTATACAATATAGTATGCACAGAAATGTATTTAATTAACTTTACAAATTATACAATTACTCCTAATGATGTAAAATAAATGTTATCAGTAAATAAACATTTATATTCACTCTGTTACCATGACACATTAAGATAAAAATATTCAATTTGTTTACAATTGTTCAACTTACTTATTCGAGAATGTGATAGGCTAAGAGTACAATAAGAAAATACATAGCAAGTCATTCAGAAACCAATTCATCTTAACGTTTATTTCATTGTTCAAATATTAAATTTACTATTAAATTGACCAATTTTTCTAAAACATTCTTAAACTACAAAGTTAATTGTAAACTTATAAATCCTGTTTATTTTTTTGTCCTTCAATGAATCTTTCAAGTGAAATCTTTTCTTTTTTACATTTTCATCTTTATGGTTTGATCCGTCATTCAAGAGTCGAAGATATAGAGAACTAGAAAATCGGTCAGGAGGCCAGCAGTTTTATTTTATGCGTTTATTATACTACACTTGCCACTTAAAAACTTTCACTTATAAAGAAGTTTGTAGCACTTTTTAGATACAGTTAGGATGTACGGTACTGATTAAGAACACTGATGGTAATGAAACGAATAATCACATTAGTTATTTCTTTACAATATACTTGACTGTATAAACATTTTAAGTCCGGTCTTCTATCATGTCAATAGTGTACACATATAAATACTAAAATTTCGAACAAAACATCTATTTACTTGTCTGCTATTCGTTATCAGTGCATCTCTAATTGATAGTTGTCTTTGATAAAAACTATTTTAAAGTTATATGTTTGTTCTTAAAATCTCTACTAAATCCAAATGATCTTATCATGATTCTTAACTATCGTTCTATAAAGAGTAGATCAGGAGCATGAGCACATTTTAATGATTGAATTTGATCGAAATTTATAAACGTTATTAATCACTAAAGTATTATCCCGCCATTGATATTCAAAACTACATTTAGATCAATATTTGTTAGGATATATGTATCCTAAACTGACATCTCGATAAAGCCTATCCGTTGCTGGTTTTGAGTATGTTTTGTTGGGGATGTTAGATCCCCAGGACTCATTTGATAAATACTTTATTTTTGTAATTTTATTTTGAAAATCTGAATTTCTTTGTTTTTGCGCCAAAAGCGCTCTTGTCTCCTTCATGTCGTATTTTCTACTGGGAAGGATCTTAAACGCTATTGGTCCGTTGCGTCCTTTAGTATTCTATTTTGTAACGCTTCTCAAGGACAGTTTTGTACCATATAAATACGTTTGATTTGTGTTTGTTGTTATCGCTCGTGCTTCTGGATACATGCGGAATATACTTACTTACTTACTTACGCCTGTTACTCCTCGTGAAGGAGCATAGGCTGCTCACCAGCATTCTCCATCCAACCCTGTCCTGGGCAATCCTCTCAAGCTCTTTCCAGTTCTTATTCATCCCTTTCATATCCGCTTCTATTTCCCGACGTAATGTGTTCTTTGGCCTTCCTCTTTTCCGCTTCCCTTCAGGATTCCAAGTTAGCGCTTGTCTCGTAATGCAGTTTGATGATTTCCTCAATGTATGTCCTATCCATTTCCATCGTCTTTTCCTAATTTCCTCTTCAGCTGGAAGCTGGTTGGTTCTCTCCCACAAAAGGCTGTTGCTGATGGTATCCGGCCAATGGATGTTGAGTATCATGCGTAGACAGCTATTAATAAATACCTGTACCTTCTTGATGGTGGTTGTTGTAGTTCTCCAAGTTTCAGCTCCGTATAGTAGAACTGCCTTGACGTTGGTATTGAAGATTCTGACTTTGATATTGGTTGAAAGTTGTTTTGAGTTCCATATGTTCGTCAATTGAAGGAATGCAGCCCTTGCTTTGCCAATCCTCGCCTTGACGTCTGCATCTGAACCTCCTTGTTTATCGACGATGCTTCCCAGGTATGTGAAGGATTCCACGTCTTCCAGAGTTTCGCCATCAAGAGTGATTGGATTGCTGTTCTCCGTGTTGTGTTTGAGGACCTTGGTTTTCCCTTTGTGTATGTTGAGGCCTACTGATGCAGAGACTTCTGCTATGCTGGCTGTCTTTATCTGCATTTGTTCGTGTGTATGTGATAGGAGGGCTAGGTCATCTGCGAAGTCCAAGTCGTCTAATTGGTTCTGAGCTGTCCATCGTATGCCGTGGTTTCCCTCAGATGTCGAGGTCTTCATAATCCAGTCGACCACCAGAAGAAACAGGAAGGGAGAAAGTAGACAGCCTCGTCTTACTCCGGTCCTTACTTGAAATGCGTCAGTCAGCTGTCCTCCATGCACTACTTTGCACTGTAGTCCGTCGTATGAGTTCCGGATAATGTTGACAATCTTCTCAGGAACTCCGTAGTGTCGAAGAAGTTTCCATAACGTCCTCCTATCTACACTGTCAAATGCCTTCTCATAATCAATGAAGTTGATGTAGAGTGACGAGTTCCACTCAATTGATTGTTCGACGATGATCCGTAGTGTCGAAATCTGGTCTGTGCACGACCGGTCCTTACGGAATCCAGCTTGTTGATCTCGAAGTTGAGCGTCTACTGCGTCTTTCATCCTGTTCAGTGACACTCTGTTGAAGACTTTACCTGGTATTGACAGTAGTATAATGCCTCTGTAGTTTTCACACTTGCTCAGATCTCCTTTCTTTGGAATCTTGATGAGGTGTCCTTCTTTCCAATCCATCGGCACTTGTTCCTCCTCCCACATCTTCTTGAATAGAAGATGAAGCATGCTTGTAGTTACTTCGATGTCTGACTTCAACGCTTCAGCTGGTATATTGCCAGGTCATGCTGCTTTCCGCTCTTGATTTGTCTGATGGCCATTCTGATTTCTTCGGTCGTTGGTGGATTGACATCTATAGGAAGATCTGTGTGTGCTGCTTCGATGTCCGGTGGATTCATTGGAGCCGGCCTGTTCAGGAGTTCCTCGAAGTACTCTGCCCATCTGTTGCGCTGTTGTTGAATCTCAGTGATTGGTCTTCCTTCTTTGTCTTTGACTGGTCTCTCTGGTTTACTGTATTTCCCTGCAAGCTTCTTCGTCGTATCGTAAAGCTGTCTCATATTTCCTTCTCTTGCAGCTTTTTCCGCCGTCGTTGCTAGTTCTTCCACGTATTTTTGCTTGTCAGCTCTAATGCTCTTCTTCACTTTCTTGTTTGCTTCTATGTACTCTGCTTGAGCTTGGACTTTCTCTGCTCTTGTTCGACTGTTGTTAATTGCTGTCTTCTTGTTCTTTCTTTCTTTGATCCTGTCCAGTGTTTCTATAGAGATCCATCCCTTGTGATGATGCTTCTTGGGGCCCAGAACCTCTTGACACGTTGAAGTTGATGCTTCTTTGATACCTTTCCAGCTATCCTCCATAGTAGTTTCTTCTTCGTTCAGTAGATCCTGTAAGGCTTGGAACCTGTTGTTAAGAGCTACCTTGAATTCATTGAGTTTGTCAGTATCTCGAAGGAAGGCTGTATTGAACCTTTATGGTGCTGTTTGTCCAGTTGTCCAGTTCTTCTTTAGCTTCAGTTTCAATTTGGCCACAACCAGGTGATGATCTGAAGCTATGTCCGCTCCTCCCCTGGTTTTCACATCTTCCATTGTCCTTCGGAACTTTTTATTGATGCAAATGTGATCTATCTGGTTCTCTGTGGTGTGGTCCGGTGAGATCCATGTAGCTTTGTGTATACGTTTGTGTCGAAATATTGTACTACCTATGACCAATTTATTGAATGCACACAGATTTGCAAATCTTTCCCCGTTTTCGTTTCTCTCTCCCAGTCCATGTAGTCCCATGATGTCTTCATATTCGGTGTTGTCCATTCCGACTTTGGCGTTTAGATCTCCCATCAGAATGGTGAGGTTTTTTCTTGGGCACTTCTCTATGATTGATTGCAGCCTCTCATAGAATTGATCTTTAACGTCGTCGTTGCTATCATTGGTGGGTGCATAACATTGGATAATGTTCATTGTGATCCCCTCCTTCTTTGTTTTGAATGATGCTTTGATGATTCTGGATCCGTGAGATTCCCATCCTACAAGTGCATTTCGTGCTACTGTGGATAGCATTAGAGCAACTCCCTGAGTGTGTGAAGCATTTTCCTCTTTGTGATTGGAGTATAGCAGCATCTCTCCCGTATTTAGCCTTTGTTGTCCAGCTTGGGTCCAATGGGTTTCACTGATTCTCAGTACTTCCAAGTTGTATCTCCTCATTTCCGTTGCTATTTGACTGGTCTTCCCGGTCTCCCACACTGTCCGGACGTTCCATGTACCTATAAAAATTGTTGCTCTGGTTGTTAGAAGGGGTATCGGGCTCGTGGCTTCCGAAGGAACTCGGCTTTCACCATGAAGCGTCATATTACCTCTAATTCCCAGGGCAGAGTTTAAATGGTTGGAGTTATTTTTTCTGGTTAGCGTTTTTTTAGCGAGTTAGGTTTCTACGGGATGGGGACGCTAACCCCATGCCCAACCCTCCTCCTTTACCCGGGCTTGGGACCGGCAGTAACTCTGGAAGAGCTACAGGCGGAGTTGCGGAATATACTTCCCCGTTCCAAATTTCGACTTCTCTCTCTAGTAAGCGGGGCCGGGGCTCATCAGAATATATAACTTATTGGTCTTTGATCACAGAGTCTTTGTTCCGTTCATAGATTAGGTGAACTCGTATTCGTTTTAAACATAGCATATTTGAATCATTGAATTCAGAGTGCAGGTTTCGTCCAATTAAGACACATCAGATAAATGTACCTTCATTTCAGGATGCATTTATCCCAAAAAAGACTGATCAAAATTCACTCCTAAATAAAGGCAATCGTATCATGCAAAACATCACGAATAAACGTATCATCTATTAGGCAAGCTAGTTATATGTAGACTCAGTAGGTTAGAGAATAATGTATTGATGTTTGGAACGAAAGGTACTTTGTTCGATACTCAAGGCCGATATCAATACTTTGATACAGATTTAACCAGCTAACGAGTCCCTAATCAGACAAAATGTGTAACTTACATTCTACTGCTAACCATAATTCGAATTCATTAAATATTATCTGTATAACATCATTGGATAGTAGGATGCAGTATTTGCGCTTTGTCTTATATAAGTCTGGAAAAATGGATGTTCTAGCACCCTAATGCTGATTTTCATGCTATGATCTGAACCCCAAATCTACCACTTCATGCTCGTGTTATCCTCCAGACTACTGAGTCATGATAACCATTACATAATTCAACAGATTTGTTTGTTAAAAATCACAAAGATACGTATGTTCCGATTGATACAATCCAACTGTCCATTCAGAGAGCACACGTTTTAATAGAATATGATAAAATTCAGTTCTTCATTATTGAATACTATTTCATAACACTAAACGGTCTCATTGATAAACGTAAATTGTAAATACATTTCAACTTTCTATGTTTTCTATTTTAAATACTAACTTACTCCTTTGACATTCCAAATTACATAGCTGACTATAGACCATGGAAATTGGAAAGACGTGAACTCGCCACAGGCAGAGAATCGAACTGGCCGAAACCTAGTCTACCATTTTCTGGAACTCCCACTTATACATCTGATTATGTTGCGTATAAGTGAGTTAAGGCTTCAATTAGCATTAGTTTATATTTTTGTCTTTAAGAAATTAATGGGGATGAAATTGGCGAATGCATGTTACTTGGTCCAACAAGTACACAAAATGAGGTCATAAAATTGTCATTTACAAAACTTTTGGTAAATCAATCATCTCCCTGAAATCCCTAAAATCTGTATTGATGATCTCGTTCTATCACAATTTCCGTTGGTGAAAACAACCTTTCAGCCTACCTACACCGTTTCACATACTTTTATCAATCTTAAATGTTTTGCTAGAATCATATCCATAGGAATTTCTCCCAAATACGATTTATTACCAATCATTTGGAAATTGAATCAACGTTCAAGACCCTACATATGTTCAAGTGTTTGTGAATACAGGACTTTGGTGCTATTTCTTTCCTTGCATTTTCTTTGCATCGTTCACAACCCTCAGTGAAATGCTTTATTCCCTAGAAGAAAGATAATTCTCTTAATGGGTTAGTCTCCATCAATAACTTTAGGAAATTCATGGGTTTTTTGAGTTCCATCAAAAATATTAATAACGTATTCACAATATACATCAGTGCATCACATTAAGCTGCTTAAAGTATAGCCAAAATAAAAACGTTTCATAAAAATTATCATAATAATAAATCTTAAGCACAGATGGATGATGGCCAGCAGTAGAAAACAGAACTCACGTTTCGCCCTATTTGGAAATCGTCAGTTGGATGTACCTGCATCCCAGAGTTGATTTTCACTCTGGAACTTGAGCCCTAATATCATCCCCTTACGATTCCGGGCACTATCAATCTCCACTTAAAAATTTTGTGACTTAACGGTAATATTGAAACAATCAGCACAGGATAAACATATATCAAAAGAGATTGATTAATTGCAGTCGTAAATATCAAAAGGGAGTTCCAAACAATCAATATATATGAATTAGTACATTATGATTCCAAATGATCCAAACTAGTTTGTTAGTTAATTAGTCACTTGGTTAGTTTTTTACTACATAACTAAAGTAAGAAACTGAAAAAAGTGATATGATTAGCAAGTACACCAACCAAGTTTACATTACATGATATATAATCTGTAAACATTAATTTTCTCTATAAGCAAAGATGGATAGTAGCTATCAGTGGAATCCAGGACGCGCATTTCGCCCCGTTTAGGACTCGTCAGCTGGAAGTACCTGCAATAACAGACTGATCAATTGCAGTCTTAAAGTTCAATGGGAAGATTCAAACAAAACAATACCAAGTGAAATTAATTTTCTCTGTTTGAAAGCTCCTGCGCATACGCATCTTTTTATAATTCATCTTGTTAATTTGGGAGTTTTTAGATTAATATCTCATCTCTGTCGGATTAGCCTACTCTTACTTTGCGGTTATGTAGGTAGTGATTATGCCTCATACATGCAGTCATGAGCGATCCTTATTGTGACTCGATCTAATGAATAGACTTAGATTATTCACCTTGTGCTTCACACATAACCTCAACGTAATGATTCTGTCACTCCCACAAATACAATGAAATGTCAAATGCTTCAGTTATCGTAAATTAAATGCGTATTCAACCGTAGATCTCTTTGAATGGTATCATACATATTCTGGAAATTTTACTATCTAATTTATATGACAATGCTGTTGAGCTTTCTGACCAATAAACCGTCGTAAGATTTGGTCGTTACTTTTGAACAACAAATAAAAAATATAAGAGTTGTTTTTACATTCATCCAGAAAATTATATTTTTTATGTGATTGAGATCATGTATGCTGTGTTGATACACAACTATTGATAATCAGATTAATCCATAAAATGCAACTCTTACTATAGGTTTTGTAAACGATTGGGGTGGATGGAAGAAAGTTTGTGGCGGCCAAACGAAAACGTGGCATCAGTGCTTGAAGTGACCAACTTCTGGTCTGAGCCATGTTTGTAGATGCCGACTACTTGGTTCGAGTCCGCCTGACTATCGTAATCAATGGTTGGAGACTCTTGGTGACATGGCTCAGAATCTATCACAATGGCGTGGGTGTATACACTCTCAGTCTTCCCTTAAACTATGAGATTAAAATCACTTCATATCTTTCTTTCTACGAACTAATTCTTTCTTCCCGTACTATGTCCTCATATGCAACATTTCTTTTATAGATTACCAACACTCAATTAACTACTTCTATGAATCCGGTGCTGACCTTGGTGTGCTAATGAGGTGTGGCAACTTAAACCGATGCATATATGTGCTTGGTCCTACGTTGCAGCTGACTGACTGGAGCGATTATAACTTTTATGGGTACAAGTTAAAGCATTATTAAGAATTGATTCATGAATACTTTAAGTGGACTTACATATATTTTATGTTCAATTTAGCACATGTATTCACTAGTAAGAATTTTCTCATACTTATTAGTTGTTATAAGCTACCTAAGATTAAAATTTTAATTTATTAAAGTATTTTATTTGTTAACAAGGAATCATTTTCGCCTCTGTATGGTAATATAATATTATATATATATATATATATATATATATATATATATATATATATCTTCAATTGTTTTAGTGCAAAACCTCCAATCAGTTGTAAACCGATGCAGTGTTTCCTTGAAAATCAAACACCATTTCCAGATAGTACTGATTATCGTGATTCATATCGTACATTAGATTTATCAGAACGAGCCCGTCCCATCAAAAATGTTGAGCATACACATAAAGTTACTGTACCAATGGAACACTTATCAACACATATGCATGATTATTATTGGAAGACTATGAGTAAGTAATATTCTTTAATTTATTGTTTATTAATAATGTTGTGAGTATAAATTTTAGCCGTCCAGTACTTCCAGGTTTTCCATGGTGGTCTAGCTTCAACTGACTCATGATCTTAATCATTGAAATTACTACAATCTTCACAAAACCCCTTCTGATAAATTTTATTCACCTATTAGAATTATTATTGTTGTTATAAGTATTGAGATATTCTTTTCTGAAATATTCTTTACTAAAGAATACTGGTAATTCAAATACATGTTCATATATCAATACAGGCTGACATATTTATTTCCAACATACCTGTCGTATCTATTAATGTCTATCAAATGAGAAATAATCATTTTAGTTCAGTAGTCTACTGTAAAATAATTTGTCAGCAGACTAAGTCTTAACAAGAAAAATAAACTCCGAGTTATTTGTATACTTAAGATGGTTCCACTATCAGACATAATTTATATTTTTCCCTAAGTGACTGGCTACCTAAAACGATTTAGATTTCTTGGTCAAACTATTTTTATCTAAAAAATATGGATTTCGTGTGTAGATCAATATAGATAGGTAGATGTCATGTTTGTCTATTACTAGGTGCCAATCAAATTCTATCAGTCATCCTTCGCTGTATGACCACTAGATTGAGTGGATAGTAATCTCTGAGCATTATCTTTGATATTGAGTTTCTGTAGGCTACCGACAGGAAAACCTTCAACTGAGTTCTATTCGAGGTGGCACTTTTCAGAGGACTGATGCCTTTTTGATGACATTCATTGTGATAAGGAACCTAAAATATGGCACATCTGTGCGTTGATTACAGTTACTACCCCACATCAGGACAGTGAGATGCCACCATAGTATAAGTAGTAACAGTAATAGTAGTAGTAAGCACACAAGATTTGAATCGAGGGAAAATAAATTTTGGGGTAAAAGTACGCGATAGCTTTAAACCTCAAGATTCAAGGAAAGACGAAAGTGAACTTATGTAAGCCATCGCCACCAGCTCTGTGTAACAACACCCAAAGTTTCCAACCATTGTGTGGACTCTAATCAAGTTATTTAAATCTACTAATACAGCTTAATCTAATAGTCAATAATTGTATAGACCGATGTGACGTTTTGGTTTGGGTGCTTTAAACGTTCTTCCAACTCACTCCTAAACCAACTAACTTCACCTATCCAGGTAGGCGGGGATTAAGTATATGTAGCACATTCTTTAACCAACTCAGTCGATAAAAGTTTCTAATCACATCAACCGATTCACCACGTTTCTCTGATACGTTATGCCTTACCTCGACAATGTTCAACAGGCCATTGTATTACATGTGAGCAACGCTTTGAAGGCACCAATGACCAGAAATTTGAAGCATACACAAATCTTCTACTTTCATAGACCATGTTTCATAGCCCTGGAGTAATAAAGAACAAACTCCAATGCACTTCACTTCCTAATGACAGCACAGGAGTTGATGCAGACCAAATCTGAAGCAACTCTTAGAATTTAAAGAAAACGAAATGAATTCCAAACATACTTTCATTTTTTCCAAGGCGATTAAAATAATGCATTTCTTCAATATCTTCACCGACTGGTCATCTAAGTCGACAAGCAAATCTCTTGGTATGAGAACAACTCCTGAAAAATCATATGATGAGAAAATGTCTATGGGAAAGTTAAATAAACATGAATCAAACGAACAGCCCTGACGAACACCACCTGAAGTTATTGATTCCGTTGACAGTTCATTACAAGCTTCAATTCAACCAGTAGTCTTGGAATAGAGAGCCTGTAAGGTCAATTTACTTTTTTGGTACATCATTCAGTAACAGGCACTGCTATGATGCCTGCAGATCTGTAAAACAGAGCTCCTCCTTAAGGTCAAGAAGTAAAACTTTGGTTGGAAATTATTAGATCTGTCTATTTTCCAAAATCTGATGAAGGGCAAACATTTGATCTACATATCCATATCCATTTCTGAAAGCAAAGTGATTTTCATAGTTCTGCTCATTACGAGCCCTACTTATCATTATTGCAGCTAATATTTTAGATATTGTATTAGTCATACTGATTCCTGTGTGGGGATCACGAGAGGGCTTCCCTCCTTTCTTATAACGACCAGTTAGATGAGATCGCGTCCAGTTCCAAGACTCTAGCTTATATATCCGTCAATCTAACTGCCAAAAGACCCAGGATTTTTATTGTTAGCCCATTTGAAATAAGTTAAATTGCTCTTCAGTTCCAATCTCTGGTCGAAAATAAATCGTTATCTAGTCGTTTGCCGAAATGGTGTCGCCAACACTGGAACGTATATCACAATTGACCAATTGATCTATAGGAATTAGTTACTTACGTATACATGATGATATTAACAAATTCTATAATTTCTGCATATAATTAGATTTCGTCTTACTATTCATCCATGATTTCTATTGACTCTTTTTGTCATTATTCCAATCAGTACCATCAGCCTCATGTAAACCGGAATATACGGGTATTCAAAATAATGAACCATTTCATAAAGACACAACTCATCGAATTGACTATAAAGCTTGGGAACTAACCGATAGAATTGCGCCTATCTCGGCTAATCATGCGTCAACGTATCCCGAACCATTAGGAAAAATATGTTCTGATACAACCTATAACAAAGATTATATACCGTTTGGATTGCAGAATCGTCAAGCAATTCATCAAGTAGATAAAATCGGTCGTGGCGTTGAACTACCACCATTTCAGGTATATATATTATGATAATTACTAGTTATATCATTTCTTTTCGAAGAATAATGATCATTAATATGTTGTCGAAACGTTACGTGGAGACCATTTAATTATTCTAGGTGGTATTCGTTACGGATCGGAGTACCAGTAAAAACCAGCGTAAACTGGAAATTTACTTCGTCCAACGATATGAATTTCGAAGAGTTCACAATAACTACCACACCTGAGACTAAATGAAGAACGTTCATATCTCATACTGGATAATCATCGAGCTAATTAATTCGGAAGTACGAACAGTTAGATTCCAAACCAATGTTCTAAAGGTCAATCCCTCACCTACAGACCTGAAAATCCCAGGTACGATCGCTTGAAACTTTTTAAGGGTGATCTGTTGAGAAGTCTCATACTGCATGGAAATTCCTATTCAGTGTTTCAGGATTTTCGATGGTTCCATGAGTAATGTAATTCCGCGACGAATACCACAAACAAATACTAAGAAGTACTTTTTCCATACTGATACAAGTAATTGTTTTGATTTATTCAAATGTGTGCGTATCGGAGTTTGGTAAGATCTAATTTCTCCCTCTCTGTTTCTCAAAGTTCAATAATCTCGTGATCTTTCTTTTAATAGAAACGTTCATTTACTTGCGAATGATTTTATCATATATATGCCCACGTTTTCCTTCACAAACTGCTTCAATATAACCGGCCTCTTAGTTAACGTTGAACGATCAAATTAAAATAGTTCATTTATTTCTTAAACTCTTGATTTTAACAGCTGACAAGAATCTCGCTAAATTCATATGACTTCTATATTACTGATAAGTTTTTTATAAAAATTAGTGCCAAATATTATTTAATATCAGAAGGGGTTTTGAGGATATTATAGTAATTTTAATAGTTGAGATCATGAGTCAATTGAAGCTAATCCACCATGGAAAACCTGGAAGCACTGGATGGCCGTTTCGTCCTATTGTGGGAGTCCGCAGCAGTGAGTATCCACGATCTCGCCTTGCGAGCTTCAAACCCAGGACCTATCAGTCTCGCGAGTGAGCTCTAGAAATCATAGAGTAGTTTTCAAAGCTGTTTTATCTAATTTTAGGCAAGACAATGTGGATCCTTATTGTTTAGTTGCAGCCAATTTCTGAAATAAATATTAACTTAAAGTTATTAGTGGCTTTTGTGGTCTCTTAGTTTGTGACAAGAATATTTGTCTTAATGTTATTAAGAATAGAATATGAAAAAAGTTATCCTCTGTTATTTTTTTAGAAACATGATAAATGTATACATGCTTTGCTTCTTAAATTATGGTGAAAAGTTTTCCAATTCCAAATAACAGTTTAATTTATTTATCTACTATTGCTATTATAATTAGGGAGTTTCTGATTATAAAGACAGTTATCGGTGTTGGGCAATTGAACCACCAGTCAAAGGTTTAGGTAGAGAAGCAACTTATACTATACCGAATGTAAAATTTGAAGGTAAAAGTACCACAAATGATCATTATGTGCCTCATTTAAATTATCGACCACCGGAATCTTTCAAACCACATGGTCAAGTTACAGCTAATCAAACGCCATTCGATGATGCAACTTTATATCGTATGGAATATACACCGAAACACTTGGAACCTTGTCCAGCTAGTTTACTTAATACTGGACTAAGCAAATATGTTTATTCTGAAACGGTATGTTTGAATTTGTCTTTATCATACTTGTCATTATCTTTTGGTAGTTATTCATTTACTGATTCGTTACTTTTACTGAATATTATTGAATAATGAATAGCAAGTCATTTTGTTGGAGGAATATATTTAAATTTCTAAAATAACAATATCAAAACAATAATACAAATAATGAACCGTCATTTCGATGAATAACATTCCTTACTTTTACTGTTTTCATACATAAATTTTAAAGATTTATCATACTCAAGTCAAGAATGCACTTCCTTCTAATATTATCACCCAGCAGACTTGACTTGCAATACGTTAATGCTTATACAAACCTATAAGGTCCGCCGTTATTTTTTTATTATTTATTTAAACACATAAGCATTAGTAAAAGAGGACACCAAACAGATATGCCCCACATAAATCATTCGATTTGTATGAGAGCTGGGATACTGACCGGGTTCCTGAACTGAAACAGATGGTTTCCTTGGGGGACCACACCTGGAGCCTTTGACCTAAAGGTCTAATCCACGGGGAAGTGGAACAATGTTAGGAAATGCAGTCCCATAGTAGCCGGTGACCCGGCTAAAGCGCTGGACACTCGCTTTTCGTTCTCTCAATTGCTTAGACAACACCCTTGCCATGAGAAGGCAGTGAGTAGGACTTCCCTGACAATGGTTGTATACGCTTGGCCATGTGAAAGCACTGCGAGTGGAAGAGTGGACTCTTCTCACTCTTGATCGTACCAGGGCATTTGGGGGAAAGGTCCGCCGTAATTACAAGCTGATTAAATTTAGTCAAGTAGTAGTCGTTCAGTTAGTCGGTCAGAATACTACTGGTACAAATCTCCTTTGGCCAAGGTATCATACCCAATGAACTCAAAGAAATGAACTCGAGAATATGACTAGCAAAAATGTCGAAATGATAAGTTATTGATGATAATCAGAATGACCGAATGTAGAGAATATTGTTGGGAAAGAAGGAATAAAAAATTTATTTATGAAAAGTTAATTGAACTTAATGTCTAGAGAACGATAAAAAGTTAATGCATCTGTTTTATTGCAATCGATTCAGATCCATGTCACCTAGCGTTTTAGATAATTGATCTAAGACATCGTGTAGATTATAACCAGGTAGTATGGATCGTTCTAAGAGGGTCAGTTCATAGGAAAAGATCGGGATCAGACTGTGGGACTTCATATTAAAATATATCATAGGTCCATAAAGTTGTTAACTGTCGGATTTAGCTGCCTAAGTATATAAAATGACTTTCGGTAACATGATACGAGATATGTCAAAGTAAGACAAGCGTTCACTGGTTATCTATGTGTACAATGTGGGCTCGCAGTTTTTTCTGTAAATTAATTTTATTCAATTTTTATAAAGTTTCTTTCCTTTGATTTTGATGTTAATAGTGGGGAACATTTCTAGCTTAAGATGAGGAATTTTAGGGTAGATCATTCCAGAACGTAATGAACGAAGACTTGGTAGGGTAAATCAATTTCTTTATGGAAAATTACACAGTCCCTATGTGAAATATGAAAATAGTATATTAAATACATCATTTGCACATCTTTCTTGAGTTGCTCTTTACATTGTCCATCATTCTTTCAATCCTGTTGTGGTGGTCGGTGTTCGATATATTCCTTAAACTCCGTATACAGTTCGTCTCGGTAACCGTCACCAAATAATGCTCCAACGGTATATTAATCAGAAGGCGAATACGAAGCGTTAATTACGTTTATTAAGGGACCACACACAGATATCCAAAATTACAGATGCGTTAAGCAAGCATGAAATAGTTGTGCCGAAAGGCAAACAGGCAAGCGAGCGAGCGAGAGAGAGAGAGCAAGGGCAAGAGCGAGCGATCGAGCGAGTGAATGAACGAGCGATCGAGTGATGAATATGAATAACATGGACATATATATACATAGTGAAATTAATGAATCATCAAGTCAATTAAGCGGTTAATAGTAAAGCTAGTAGCGTGAATAAATGCATAGGCAGTAAGGCTTGCCGAGCATACATATTCATACAAGGATAACAATAATAAAGGTACATACATTCGCAACAGTAATAAGGATACAATAAGTTATTATAGTGCAGGTGACTTTGTCCGTTTAATAAGTTAATAAAAGGGCTTAACCGAATTAGGTGAGAGCAAACTCAATTGAACGTGAGTTGCTATACTGTTAGTATTCCAATTTCTCTGTTTTCCTTTCCTTTCTTTTCCTTTCATCTTTCTGTTGATAAGTATTACATTTCTAATTGCTGATACATACTACTTATATCTGTCTGTATAAGTAGCGGACACTTTAAGCGTACAAAATATTTCCAAAACTGATGTCAATATGTCAGCTCTGTTTTAATTTCTTCATTTTTCAACTCTTCCTTATGAACTGACTTTAACTGAATTACTATCAAAAAGCAGAAAATAGTATGCAGTTATCTCATTTCATTTTGGCGCTAAAGTTGGTAATGTGTATCAGTGGATTTCAAACCAATTGTTTAAATGGAAATATACTCTCCTAGATCCCTGGAGGTATTTAGTTCTGAATTAATCTAATCAAATTGTCCCGTACTTATTCACTTATACAAAGTTAATTAAATTCTGACACGAAATTTACTTGCTTACATGATAGTTATGTTGGTTTTTTCTCAAAACTATGTCAAAACTATTGATAATTAATAGTCTATGATAACGATGGAATAGATTACATAAATAAGTGAAAAGTACAAATTGGTAGTGTGATGACAAATGTACTAGTTGTGATAAGAATAATGAGGGCTTGAATCAATGTTACATATTGGGAAATAGGTCAATGATTAGAAAAAAATATAGACACTGAAACAACCTTCATAAAAATTGTAAGATTACATAATAAGAAGTGTTCAGATAATTGGACCGTGAAACGTATATTTGAAAGAAAAACAAAATGATAAGAGGGGGTGAAAAAAAATAAACGATTTGCATTCCTAAATACAATAAATAGTTTTGAATAAATATTGAAGTCAATCTGTACACGTTTTCAACTAAAATACAAATTTCCAAGAAAATGTTTTTAAAAAATTTAGATGATGATTATTTTTTTACTACCCTTTAACATCAGTAGGAGAATCAGTGAAAACAAGGAATCATTGTACAGATGTTTAGTTTCACTTTATGACTCCTCAACGGTGATTGTCCCTACGACCAGATACCATACTCACTGAGAATCATCAAACTTTGAAGACTATTTGTACAAACAAAAAGTACTATCTAAATTTCTTAAAGTCTCTACAAAGGTTGTGAATGACCAAACCTAGGAAATCTCGAAATGAATAGAGACAAATGTCACTTACTCCCTAATCAATATCAGTCAGTTTATGATGAAAACTATAAAGTCAATTCACTTAATAAATAACTAATTAATTAAATTTTGTTTGCACCGTACACTTCAAAATGAACGGTATTAATTCATGTGAATATTTAACGTTTACATAAGCATGATAAAATAGTCGTCCTTGAACATAACGCCATAAACTGAAGATCAATTTCGAGTAAATAAATCAGTAAACATTCTTCATCTTACCATTGCCTTATAGTAAAAACCATAGTTTTCTGATTTTATGATTCGTAATCAGTTGATCGATTGCATCCGTATTTTTCTCTTCTTTCTTTTATTTACAGAGTGATACGGGACACGAAATCTATCGTAGAGCATCCAATTCTTCATCACTAACTAATGGTCAATATTCTAAGCAAAATTTGATTACAATTCCAAATGAACCGTTAACAGTAGCAAATTGAATAAATAAAACAAAAACCTGAAATTCTCTTTATTCTCTTTTTTTGCTTGGAGATATATAACTCTTTAAAAAGCTTTCATTAATACCATTGAGAGCTAATTAATAGCATATTTTCTCAATGAACGGTAGACTTTACCTTTGAATGCTTTATATACATATATACTACTCAATGTTCCATAGTCCTATACTGTTATAATCAACTCTGAGCAAAAAGATTCTTTTGTTTTATCTTATTTTGCTGAATTATGGTTTTAGTGACTTATCATTTTATTACTTTGTTAGTAGTGTTATTTTTTATTCAGAGCACTTAATTTATCTTATTTGTCACCGATATTATTTTTGTTTAAATTGCGCCTTAAATCAAAAGTCAATTGTCTGTTTGTTTGTTTGTCCCAATCGCTTTCACCTCCCTTCTTTTTTATTCACTTTTCGTTCGAAAAAAACAATTGTGTTTTCATTTAAACACTTTTTTCTTTTTCAGTTGTTGTCATTTTTTGTTTTGAACTACCTGGAATATGATATTTCATCAGTTTTACTGACCATATCTTCATACATTATGTAGACATTTAAATGTATACACAGAGAGAAATATTTACGAATTGCTGATATTGGTCAGGAAAATGAACTGCACAAATTCAAGTTTCGAAAGTAATACACTTTTTAGCATACTACCATACGTGTCCATCGTTACTGACGTAATAATAATAGTAATAATAATAATAATAATAATAATAGTCAGTAAACATCTAGTTTTATTTCAAAATTACTACTGAATTCAATACAGTTATAGTCGTAGATGTATTACATACTTACTTACGCCTGTTACTCCCAATGGAGCATAGGCCACCGACCAGCATTCTCCAACCCACTCTGTCCTGGGCCTGCTTTTCTAGTTCCATTCAATTCTTGTTCATTTTTCTCATATCTATCTCCATTTCTCGGCGTAAGTTTCTCCTTAGTCTTCCTCTTTTCCTTTAGAGTTGAGAATTCTATGTGAAGGCTTGCCTTGTGATGCAGTTGTGTGATTTTCTCAATGTATGTCCTATCCACTTCCAGCGCTTCTTCCTGATTTCTTCCTCCACTGGGATCTGATTTGTTCTCTCCCACAGTAGGTTGTTGCTAATAGTATCCGGCCAACGGATCTGAAGTATTTTGCGTAGACAGCTACTAATAAACACTTGTATCTTCTGAATGATTGTTTTTGTAGTTCTCCGAGTTTCCGCCACATACAGTAGAACTGTTTGGACATTTTTATTGAAAATTCTGACCTTGGTGTTGTTTGAGAGCTGTTTTGAGTTGCAGATGTTCTTCAGTCGTAAACATGCTGCTCTTGCTTCTCCGATCCGCGCTTTTACATCTGCATCAGATCCACCGTGTTCATCATTGATGCTGCCCAGATGTGTAAAGGTTTGTACATCTTCCAAATCTTCTCCGTCAAGTGTGATTCGATTGTTGCATGATGTGTTGCATCGGGGAATCTTGCTTTTCCCTTTGTGAAGGTCTCGACCTACAAGACTTCTCCGATACAACACAGCATGCAACAATCGAATCACACTTGACCTAAAAATCTAACTCGCTAAAAAACGCTAACCAGAAGAAAAATTATTCATGGATGTATATCAACTAGAAAATCTATTGAACATTAGAAAGCATTAGCTAGATATTTTGTTTTAATTTGAGACTCCTTAATACTTTATTTAAAAAACTTTGCATGAAATCGAACTCAAAATGTTCATTGCTTATACTACAGGCATAACACCCAGAAATCACTCATGAGATATCCATTGAACAAACTCCAGTCACTTTACAGTATTGCACGACTATTTTCTAGTGGCATCTGAGCTGGAATAGTCTCACTTCGGTGTTTCACAAATGTCCGTAATCCTTCAGTTGAAGTCAATAAATTAATCCATTAACTTGATCATAAGTCTGGTTAATTTGTGACTCTAAAAAACATTCCAAATAACTGATCAGTGTTACGATATCCAAATATGTAAGTCGTCCAGTTCCACCATAAATTTTTTTCTTGTCTGTGCTCCAAAAGTACGGGGCATTAATAAATCAGAATTCATGCATATAGGGTAAAATATAAACATTCTAGAATACCATGTTTGAATAATTCACAAGTAGACTGAAGACTTGACCTGTGATTGCAAAGAATTTAAATCTAGAAAAAATAACGCCATATGCAACTTTCTAATCAACCTAAATTTCAAATATAGGTGTAAATAAGTAGTTGATTTGTCTAACATCAGAAAAGATTGTCTAGTAAGTTTATACCGACCAAAATTTCAAGTGAAAATATTTCCAACTCATTGACCACTGACTTAAAACCATGATTTCTAACTTGCCTGCTTCTTATTACTTACATTACCATGATCAACACAATATTCTAGAGCTACAAAGTCCAGGTGGCCACTTACTTGCTTAACCAATATGATATTTAACACGATTATCATTAGTATTAGCATCATCATCATCATCATCATCATCCTTGTTATTATTATTATCAATAAGAATTTTATCTAATAAATCTTTGTTTATAAATGGCCTTTTCGAACAACTACCTTAATATTGCCTGTAGGAATTTCAAATGCATAGTTTTGATAACTTATGTACGAGTTTCAATTTTCAAACCACAGATACAGTGTGAACACAACTGATTCAAGTATATTATGTAGAGATTACTCTAAACAACAAAAAACTAAATAAAAGAATCATTATTATTCGCTATTATGAGACATATTTGTGGATTATAAAACCGGATCGATAATCAACTAAACGAAAGTTTACTGTTCTCTGTAAAAGATGTGATCTAAAAACTTTAAATTGTTACCTGAACAACTACACATAAGTTGATCAATATAATGAACATAGCTAATCAAATCTTCACTTGAATTTTATTTAAACTTTGTCCTTTTATTAATTAAGTTAGCGAATTGGTTCGATAATTAGTTGGATTCATTCGTATGTAATTTCTAGGTTGATAGCAGTCTTCTTTTTATTGACTAAGTAATGCTAGATGCTGAAATTTTGATAAAGGTTGCTTTATAAGCAAAGATGTATAGTGGCTAACAGTGGAATTAAGTCAATATCGAGACAGTCCTCACAGGATGCAGATATGCCATTGAGAGACTGACCAATTGCAGTCCTCAATAACAATGGGGAGATACAAATAACCAACGTCACGTGAATTTCAAAGGTTGCTTTACTACAAATCTGGAAGATGACTATTATCACTGAAAATTTCATTCAATCTTTCCATTTTTTGTAGATATGGCAGAAACAACATTCATTTGTAGAATACTTTGAATTCAATTATTTCAAACATTTCGACGTGGATCTTGACAGAAATCTTCATCTTGTAGGGACGTATTCTTTGTGTTTTAAAATCATTTTAACACAGTTTTCACATTGGCTAACATTGTGAACATTCAGTCATTTGAATATCACTAGTCAAAATTAATTTTTTGTTTACTTTTCATCAATATTATTAAGTATCTACATATATTGCTTTTAAATTGGTTATACTACTATTTCCAGGATATAAGTAGATGAAAAGAATCCACGAAATAATGAATTGATGGCATTTTTGCCACTATTGTTGTTTTGGCCTTTGTTCAAACAATCATTGAAATGATGACGAAAATAAAATAATATAATTATGGTAAATAAATGTACTGGAACTTATCAGTAGTTTATAGGGCTATAAAATAAGTTCTAGAGACAAACAGTATTACCTTCAATAAAATATTCCTCCGAGTTTTATACAAATATTTTGTTTTGTTTAAAACAATTATTCCCTTTGATAGATTTCGTTAATGCAATGAGAAGACGAAGTTTGTCAGAATTATGTGATGATACATTTGCGCAATACATTTCGAACAATCTGATTACACATCTGCACTTGTTAAGACATTTTAATATGAAAATTAATAGGTTAACTAGACAGGTTAAAGGTAAGCTGTAACAAAGACATAATAATAATAATAATAATAATAATAATAATAATAATAATAATAATAATAATGATAAAGTACGCAAAAACAATGTGATAACCACTCTGGATATTTAATCATTATTACAAGGGTAGTTGAGGGTAAGGACAAATTGTTTTTGAACGCATAAAGGGGGTTTCAGTCTTCGTATAGCCAAGGCTTCAATGAACCTTAGTATACGTCCTTGAAGGCTTTTGTATAACACTACAAATGCTAACTTGATGTCAACCTTATGACCAGTCTCGATCAAATGTTTCGCAATGGAGGATGATGTCTGTCCATCTAAGGTGGAAAAACATTGAAGCAATTAAGATACGTTTCTAGTCATCAGCAACAGTTATGTCAATTATACAACAATGGATCTAAAAAATTTGACAGTTTAATTAAGGGGAAAATAGTACAGACAGAACTATAAAGCAAATAAATACATTTCAATGTTCAATCAAAACTTATTGAATGGAACCTGATAAACATAATGTCCAATTAAAGTCACACAAGACGTACTGTGTGAAAAAAGACAGTTTAAATACTATGAGTAAGTAGTAAATAAGTAAAATGTAAACGGTGAAAATTAGTGAAATTGTTAATTGTATACATTTGATCTTTCATGATCTTGACAACTATGTTATAAATACTCAGTTTGAAGAAATATATCAACTATATCTTTCCGGAAAATTTACACTCTCCGGTTTTATCATTTCAAGTAAATTTGTATCATATCAGAAGTGTTTTTGTGGATATTATAGTAATTTCAATGATTGATATCATGAGTCAATTGAAGCTAGACCACCATTGAAAACCTGGCAACATTGGACGGCTGTTTCGTCCTCGTGTTATCTTTTTAATTCACAGATTAATCCATGAGATTCGAAGCCAGGACCCAGGTCTAGTGGTTAAGCGCTCGCGTGCGAGACTGATACGTCTCTGGTTCGAGTCCCGTATCACCAAACCTTATAATCTGAGACATCACTAATCATTAATCGGTCAGTGCAACTATATTCCTCTCACAGGATGTCAATCAATTAGTGATTGCATCTCAGATTATGAAATCGGGTAAACTCAGACAACTTGAAAATAAAAATAAAATAAAATAAAGATTATGCTACGTTACAAACTAACTAGAGTTAATCATATTGGTCAATCAATTTCAATCGATTATTCCAAAATTATCAAATTCAGTAAATCTAATGGTTGTGGATGGTCATCATAAAGGTATCTGGAAACTAGAACGAACCAGGTATTCTAGTGTTGCCTGGTTATTTTTGAAGAAAAATTGATAAAATCAATTTGTAGTGCAAAATCTACATTTAAATATTTAAAATGCATATTCATTACCAGTTATTTTGCTATATGTTACCTTTTTTTTAGAAAAATACCTTTCTTATCATTTAAATATTGACTGGAAAATGATATTAAGTCCAAGTTACAACACATTTACAGATGACAGAAAACATGTGAAATTACTTTAGTGGTTGCTAAGTTATTCTGAGTTATTAAGATAAAAGTGAACCAATTATTGTCTAAATTTTTAGAAATTCAAAATCTTACTGTTTAAATACCTAGTTTTGTCTACCAAGTAGTACTGAATAGAAGCTTGTGTATTGTTAATTGTTGTCTTGTACGTTTCGGTGGTAAATATTCAACTCCTTCCTAATATGATCACTAGGTTGTTGATTTATGTTTCTGCTTGTTATTCTCAGTTTCAAATTCCCTCAAGAACATCAACAACTTACCTTCATGCT